TGCCCAGCACCCGTCATGGCTCTGGGCAGTGCGGTGGGACGCAGGGGTGGCACTCACCCCCAGAAGCCCAGCATGGCCACCAGGCCGGCCAGCAGGATGGCAAAGAGGATGGAGAGGATGGAGGTGAGGGCGATCATGCCGGCGCTGTGCCCGCTGCCCATCACGGGGATGCTGCTGAGCGGCTGGGCTGGGGAGAGAGCGGGAGGGGAAGGAGCAGCACGTGCACCCCGGGGCAGCGCAGGGGGCAATCGCAGTGTGCAATTGCACTGTGCAAACACAATATGCAATCCCAGTGTGCAAAGGCACTGTGCGAATGTAATGTGCAATTGCAGTGTGCAAACGCACTGTGTGAACACAGTATGCAACGGTAGTGTGCAAACACCATGTGCAATTGCACCATGCAAATGCACCGTGCAAACACAATGCACCATCACACGATGCCACCACACCCCAGCAGGACCCGCAGCAGCACCCTGCCTCAGTTTCCCCGGCTGCGCACAGGAACGCTGCACCCCGAGCCGCTGGTGCTCAGCGTGCAGCCCCCTGGGACCACCCTGCACCCCCCACACCCCGCAGCTGCAGGATGGGTGCGAGGGGCAGGATGAGCACCCCAGCAGCGGTACCTGTCCTCAGGGTGATGGGCTCCGACCAGGCTGTCTCGGCCACGGGCTTGGAGCCGTCCAGGGCGAGGAACTTCACCCTGGGGCGGGAGGGGAGGTTGGCCATGCTCCCCCGAGCCAGGCGGCTGCGGCAGGTCCCGGGGGGCCACGTCCCCGTGAGCAGGCTCACCGGTATGGCCCGGGGCCGGGCAGGGGGCCGTTGCAGGTGGGTCTCGTCTTATCCTCGATGCAGCTGGTCTCGCTGCCGACGCGCAGCACAGTGATCTCCCCGGGGGGTTTGGGGCAGGGGTAGTTGAGGATGGTGGTGTTGAGGGTCATGTAGGCATGGGCGCTGGTGGGGAAGTTCTGGAAGGCCCAGTGGGGGGTCCCCGGTCCCATGCTGTTGTTGAAGTTCTCTACGGCTGTGGAGATAGGGGTGAGGAGGGACCCCAAGGGGCACGGGGAGACCTGCGCTCACCCCTGCCCGGGGCTGCTCCCCCGGGGCCTCGCCGCAGCCCACCTACCCTCGGGGACGGCCACCACCAGCCAGATGACGGCGTCGTCTTGCAGCTGGGTGAAGACGCAGCGGGGCTGCTCCAGCACGAAGGTGGAGGTGGTCGTCAGGCCCCCCAGGGGGGTGCTGGCCAGGGTCGGCACGTACGTGAGATTCGCTGTGGTGAGAAGCCCAGGGGGATGTGGCGGAGGGTGCGGACGCCTCGCTGCAGCCCCTGACCGGTGGCTCCGACCGGCTGCGCCGGTGCCGGGGGCTCAGCGTGGGGACACGGACAGGAGGGAGCTGACCCCTGTGATCCCGGCTGCGGGGCTCCCGCTCCCCTCCCGGCTGCGGTTTTGGGCTCAGACATGTTTCATGAAAAGAGGAAGCAAAGACGCTCCCGTGCCACCACCCGGGGAGGGGCACCCCTGCGAGACCCCAGAGGACCCCACGCTGTGCCAGCAGACCCAGGAAGGTGACGCCAGGGACACCAGGGGTGGCACCCAGAACAGGGGGGGCATCAGCTGCCCCACGCCTCCAGGCTGGGTGGGGGTCCCAATGCCCCTGCACAGGGGACCCCCACAAGCAGGGGACAGCAGGGACCCCAGCCCAGCCCGATGGCGTTGGCGGACTCACCCAGGCCGTGGGCCGCTGCCAGGAGCAGGAGGAGCAGTGGGAGCATCGTGCAGGCGCCTGGGTGCCGAGGGCGGGAGTGCAGCGGAGCTCCACGTCCCCGCGGGACCCAACTGCGGCTGCCAACCGCCCACATTCCTGCGCTGGCCGCAGCCCCGCAGCAAACAGGTCAGGCTCGTTTCCTCAGGGAACATTTGCTATGCCCAAGCGCCCACCAGTGAGGCGTGCTGAGAACTGCCACGCTTGTGGCACGGGTGGGCAACAGCCTTCACCCAGGCAATGGGGCAGAGAGTGCCACCCCAGGGCGATGCCCACCTCGGGGCTCCCCGCAGACCCCACTGGTGCCAGCATGTGCCCCCCCCGACACCAAATGCCACCAAGCTGAGGCCCCGGGTGGTTTTTGGGGGTCCCGGTGCCCCCATCTTCCACAGCTCCAGCCCTGCGTGGCCGATGGCGGGGGCCTGGTGAACAGAGCACCAAGCTGGTCCATGAGCAGGGTGGCAGGCGGAGGAAAGGCATCGTCCCGCAGCCGGGCAAGGAGGAGGCAGTGAAAGATGTAACGAGAGAGTTTACTTGGCAGGACACGGAGCAGGAGGCCGGGGGGCAAAGCAGCCCAGCCCCGGGGGGCTGCACCTGCAGCCGGGGGGCAGGGGCTGGGGCAGGGCCGGGGGGATGTGGTGGGTCCTGTAGGACCTGCGGGCGAAGGCGCCGGTCCCCGAATCCCGGTGGCACAGGGACCTGCACACCTCGGCGCTGCAGGGAGAGACAAGCAGAGGTGTCAAGAGGGGTCCGCGGGGCTCTGCTGGCCCCCCTCGCGCCGACCACTGCCACAGAGCCCTTTCTCCTTGCCAAACTGCGGCAAACCCCCAATTTAAGAAAAAAAAAAGGCTTTTTAAGTCTTAAAAACCTCTCCTTTGCTCCATCTCTTTGCCGATGGAGCCGAGGAAGGGGTGTTCTCCTGGGGCCCCCGCGGACACGTCCCTCCAAGCATGTCCCCGCACAGCCCCCGTACCCCACGGCGCCGAGCACCGCTGCGGCCAGCACGGCCCCCAGGCTGGCGAGGATGGAGGTGATGACAACCACGTCGCTGCTGCGGCGCACGGGCGCGGGGTCGATGGTGCTCGGGCTGCCGGCTGGAAGGAGGCGGGATGAGGAATGTGGGGGTACATGGAGGGCTCAGGGATGGTGCGATGGAAAGGGAGGGATAGGGTGGCCAGGGGATATCGGGAACCGCTTCTCCCCTCCGGGTTTTGGGGTGATGGCATAGGGCCGATGCTGTGCCACATGCTGGCACCCCAACCGGGCAGGTGTGGGGGACCCGTGGGGGGACAGCAGTGCCACCGGTACCTCTCCGCAGGAGGATGGGGTCAGACCACCTTGTCTCTGCTTTGGGGCCGTGGCAGCCCATCACCAGGAACTTCACCCTGCGGGACAGATACGGCGCTGACAGCACGGGGGGACGTGCACAGCCTCCGTGGGGAATTACCCCAGCCAGGAGCTGGGGGGTCCATCCCGCCAGCCTCACCTGTAGGGCCCCGGGGAGGGCAGGAGCCCGTTGCAGGGGTCCCGGCCACCCTGGCCCCCGCATGCCGTGTCACCCCCGACCCGCAGGATGGCCGGGCTCGGGGCCGAGCAGGCGTATGCGGCCGCCGCCATCTCCAGTGTCATGTAGGAGTGGGTGGTGGGCAGCCTCTCGTACAGGGGCACGTCGGCCCGGGACGGGGGGTTTCTGAAGGCGGCTGAGGCTGCATGGCACACACGAGGGGTGAGCGGCTGCAGCGAGGGTCCCCCGTGTCCCCCCGCCATGGCAGGGAGCATGTGCCAGAGCAGTGGGCACTCACCGTTGGCAAAAGCCACCGCCAGCCAGACGGTGTCGGAGGCGTTGGTGTGCTGGTCGAAGATGCAGCAGGGCCTCTCCAGCGCGAAGGTGGTGGCGGTGAGCTTCCCTGGCAGAGCCGCGGGGGGCACGCGGGGCACGTAGGGCAGCAGGGCTGGGGGGCAGGCGGTGAGCGGGGGGACACCCTGTGCTCCGCACTGCTCAGCAAGCGCCTCACCCCAGCCTGCATCCATGCTGGGGTCCACGAACACCGGTGCTGGCACAGCGGGGCTCAAGGGATGTTGGCAGTGCCAGCACCAGGGGGATGGCACCAGTGTGGGGATGCCCCAGCCATGCCCAGCCCCATAACTCCCTCCCCGGCACAAACACCTTGCAAAGACCCACGGGGAAAACACCTCGCAGCCCCTGCGAGCCCCCGTCCCCCTCTGCCCCGTCCCCCCCGGGGAGTCACCCAGGCCCGTGGCTGCGCCCGTCCCAGCCAGCGCCAGCAGCACCCACGGCAGCTCCATGGCGTTGTCCCGGTGGGGCTGGACGTGCTGCCCTGCTCCGCTCACCCCGTCCCACTGCCGAGGGGACAAACCGCCCTGTGAGCCCCTGCAGCGGGGACCGCCTGTCCCAAGGTGCTGGACCCTCCCAGCCCCACATTCCTGCACCGGCTCTGCCGGCCCAGCAGGACCCCGCGGGCAAAGGGGCCGGCTGCACCTCCCGGGTCACCTGCTGGTCCCAAACCCCCCAGGGAGCCACCCTGCTGGACCCCGGTGCCGAGGTGCTGGAGCGGGCTGTGAGGATGCGGGGCACAAGCCTGTGATGTGAAAGGGGAAACTGAGGCACAGAGGAGGCACCGGAGGCACGTTCAAGGACCAGTCGGCAGGAGTCGGAGGTTTTGTCGGGGCTATGGGGACAGCCAGGCAAGTGGTCCTGCACCCCCATTTGCCCCACCAGGACCTGACTCCCTGCGGGTGCCCCATGCCCACCCGGTGCCCAGAGCCAGGGCGAGGAGCGGGCCCGGGTCCAGCTGGTTTTGGGTGCAGCCAGCCTTGCCCCGAGGGCGGGGAAGCACTCCAGAGCCATCACACCCAAAGCTCACCCAAAACCCCAAGCGTTCAAGGCAAACGGTCCCACCCAGCACCGGGGGCGTGGAGGCACCCAGGGTCCAGGGCCACCCCATGCTGGCATTTCCCCATCCATCCTTCCCCCTCGCTGGCAGCGGGGCTGGGCCATGGCCCCCCTCCCTGGGGAAAGGCCCCCGAGCCCTTGGGACGGGGCCAGGGACAGCGACCCTGGGACGGGAGCTGTGCCACAGCTCAGGGGCCCCCGCCGCCCCCCCAGCTGCTCCCCAGGCAGAGGGGTTTGGTTTGAGGGCTCCTTCTCTGGTGTTTGCCAAGGGCAGCGGCTGCCCACTCCCGCGTGGAAGGGAATTTCCCCCCCTTCCCGAAGGGGCCGGGACCGCGCCTTCAGATTAAGTGGAAATGGGGCATTCAAAGATTACACAGCCCAGCTGCGGAGGGGAAAACAGGCGCAGCTGCAGCCTCCATCCCTCCCCGCTCTGCCAGTCCCTGCCTTATTGCCCTCTCCTCCCCAGCAGGGCCTGCCCCGGTCCCCGCCAGCAGCAGATGCCCACGGGGACATGCCAGCCCCCTCGGCCACCCCAGAGCCCTCCTTTGCGCTCCCCGGCGGGGCGAGGGAGGCCGGGTGACGCAGGGGGACACTGAGTCACAGTTTCAGCTGCTGGCACCCGCTACTGGGCCGCAGGGCCAGCATGCCTGTGGGGTCAAGGCTTGGCTAATAATAACCTCCCTGCTGCAAACGAGCCGGCACCGCAGGGGAGAGGGAGAAACCCCCACCCTGGGTCTCCAGCCAGGGCCAGGGGGACCCAAGTCTTTCGGTCAGACCTGTCCGGTAGCATTATAAGCACTTATTTTGGGATCTGTCCCCTCCTGGTTCCAACTGGCACCACGGCATCGCAGTCATGCTTTTGCCCCACGCCAGCCCTGGAGCCTTCCCCCTCCGCGGGCTGCAACCCCTGCCCCAGGGCAGAGAGGGGACCGGCCGGGGAAAACACCTCGCAGCCCCTGCGCTTCGCCCAGAGCAGAGAGGGGACCGGCTTCGCAGCATCTCCCTGCGCAGCGGTGCCCGAGCACCCGGCTCTGCTGCTTTCCACCCCTTTGCTGCCTGCATCCCCCCGCCGCGGGGGCTAAGCCGTCTCAGGGCTCAGCACCGATGTGGCAAGGATTTTAGGAGATGCCTCATGTCCCCGTGGCGGAGGATGTGACAGCCAGGGACGAGCCACTGAGCCTGGCCAGCTCACGCTGCGGTGCCCGGGCCCTGGACCAGCCCAGACGCGGGGAGGCTCCAACTGATTCACGCACAGGAGCATCTGCTGAAGATGCCTCGGGCCAGCTCAGCGGGAAATTCTGGCTTTGTACAGGGCTGGGTGAACCCTGCTCAATTTTCTCTTCAATTCACTGTTTTGATTGCTGGGACAACATGATCTGGGGATAGAAAGCTGAGGTTCAAACTCGAAATCTCTCCCTTTCGCAAGCAGGGTGGGAAAGGAGCAGGCACAGCCCGTTTCTGTAGAGCTCAGCAACACGTAGACACGTACCTGCTGCTCCCGAGGAGCTCCCAATTTTGCAGCATCCCCAGACTTGGCTGGGCGTTTGAGGGCTTTCTGCCTAGAACCTGCAGCAGAGGGTAACCAGGAGGCTGCAAGCACAAGATGGACACTGGGGAAAGCTCCAGCCCTTGACAGCTCTGAAAAACCTTTCATTTTTATATTGGCGTGACGGAAAGAACATCGCCCCTCTGCCGGTCCAGGACATGCTGTCCCAGGAGGATGCTGAGCCAGCAGCTACCACAAAGCACGGCCACGTCCCGGATCTCCTGGGAAGGAGGTGAAATGGCAGCTGGCACCAGGGCCTCTGATGTGCCAAAGGGATTTAATGTGGGCAGAGCTCCTGGGACTTGCAGCTGGGGCCGGTGGCCAGAACAGCCAGAAACAGCTCTTAGAAAGGCTTCAGCTACCAGGTGACAAGAAGCCCGGGGACAACGTACAGCAAGGCCACCAGGAGTGGGGCAATACCCTCATGCAGGGTGCTAGCACTCGTAACGGGCAGAGTTCACGGTACAGGAACGTGCTCCTGCCCAGAGAGCATCTCTGATGGCAGCCTTGCACCGCTGCCATCCTGCTCACCGCCCAGCTGGCCGCAGAGGCGGGGAGGAAGGTGGCCTGTCACGGCCTGCTGGCACCAGCTCTCCCTGCAGCAGCACAAAGCTTCACCGGGCACAAACAGCCCCAAACTGCTGCCATTTCACCTGAGAGGGGGGGAAAAGAGGGGCAGGCCCTGCCAGAAGGGCTTCAGGACGATAGGAGTGGGGATGGCGGCTCGCAGCAAGGGCAGGGGGCTGCGACTTCCCCCAGGATGGACGCTGCTGGGTCACCTCTGCCTGCACCATGGCCGCGCCCCGTGTCCCGCCCCTGCAGAGATTTGTGTCCTTCCAGCAGAGCTGACCTTTCCCTCCTTTCTCCTGGCTGGATCGGGTGTCCCCAGCTCCACGGAGCGGGCTGGTCCCCCAGAGAGGGCCACCGAATGGGGAAGCACCCCAAGCCATCAGGCAGCTTGAAGGCAAAGCAGCGACTTGCCGTGGAAATGAAGTGTTTATTACGACCAAGCAGAGACGCAGGGGCAGGAGGGAGGAGGCTTTGCTGGAAGAGGCTCCTCAGAGACAGGAGGGAGGCCCTCGCTTGCTTTCCAGCTGGTCAAGTGGGAGCACGACACCCCCCCTCTCCCTGTCCTGTCCCCAAGCATCACCAGGGCAAGGTTCTGCCTTCACAAGGGGGTCTGTCACCTCAGGACCACTCTCCCAGCTGGTCCTGGCTGTGGCCATCAACCCTATCCAGAGATGCAAGCGTGGTTTCTACAAAAATATCCTTCCCTCCCAAAAAAAAGGCCGTAGAGAGCAGGCAGGGCTCCCGCGGTACAGTGTTATTGCTCAGTGTGACAGGCGGTCAGACACAGGAACTTAAGGCAACAGGAATAAGTGCACTAGGTGGGCCCCGCGAGGCGTGCACGGCACAGCCGGGCCCCCGCCAGCTCATTGTCCCAGGCAGTCCTCGGTGACGCCCTGCGCAGCCAGCTCCGCCAGCACATTGTCCAGGTAGTTGGGGTCGGGGTAGCCGTGGCCGCTCAGGTTTGTGTCCATCTCCGTCTTGTGGTGGATCTCGTTCCACACCACGGTGTTGCTCTCACCGGTGGTGCTGGAGGTGCCTACTGTGAAAATCAGGCGTCTCTTCCAGGCCACCCTCAGGAGCTCCAGAACCTAGAGGTGGAAAGAGGAAAACCAAAGCTGATCTGTGTTCAGCAGCGAGGAGACTTGAGCCATGAAAGCAGCTTCCCAGAAGCTTAACAGCCTAAATCCTTGCTCTAGCAGGAGGAAACCAAAGATCCCAGCATCAGAAGGGATCTCCCTCACCTTCTAGTTACCCATGCGGTTCCCCTGATGGGAAGGACCATTCCCTGCACGTGTTGGTCTTCCAGGACTTAAAAAATACTGGCACAAGTTGAGACAAACACACCCACCCAGAGCAAACAGGGATGGGAAGAGCCAGCAGCTGGACTTTCCGAGCTCAGCAGTTTTAAGTGCAAACCCTTGTAACTGCATAGCCCACGACAGGCCAGGAGTGTCTTCCCAAAAGATCAGATGGGATTTTGTTTAGTAAAGAGGGATGAAGGAGACTAAGTTTTCACAGTCAAAGCTGTGAAGAAGCAGCAAAGATCTTCAAAGGCAGAGGGGTTACAAATACATGTAAGCAACAAACAGCATGGACAACTACTAAGAACAGCTGGTTCGCATTGTGAGGACAGCTCCCAAAAGCAACCCTGTTGTGCCAATCCACCCACACAGGGCCAAGAGACAACCTGAGAAGGGTCACGTTATCAGGGTGCGATACCTTACCTTTCTGCCCTTCTCGTTGTCCGGTAGATAACAATAGCGAGGAAAGCCTCTTGCTGTGTAAGGCATCCCAGGGTTGGGGTGCTCAGGGCCCTGCAATAGATAAGACATATTTGGCATGGACACATCCATCTCCATATGAGTTGGACAGTCCCTCAGCAGCAGGATTTGACATAGCTCCATCTCAAAGCAGCTTTTCCATGTAAAAGGAGCAAGGTATTGCTGATGATGAGTATGAGGTATCTGGCTTGTTCTTGTGGGACATGCGAGTATTACGGGTCCTCCAAGAGCGGTCTCATGCTGGGATACAAAGCCAGCTCTTCAGATTACTGAAATTCTGGTGGGAGACAGCCCCAAACCACAGCTTTTTCCATGTGGCCTGATGACACCCTAAAAAGACCACCCAGCTCAAACCTTTGCAAGCTCACTGCAACCACTGAAACCTCAGGTGTGGGTTGCGAAACCAGATGTTGGGATCTCTCCCACCTTGTGAGCATGGGCTGAGTCTTCTCTGTTTCACACAGAGGTATGAGTTTTGACTGTAGGTGAAAGGCTG